GTGGACCATATCTCTCATGTTTAGCGGGGGGGGGGGGGGGGGGGGGGGGGGGGGGGCGGCGGCTTATATTTCACTGAGAAGGAAACCTGTAAGTAGGTCTTATTTTTGGAGGATGTTTTATTTTTCGAGAAACACGGTAGTAACAATTTAAATTTAAAAGTAACTTGTGAACACATAAGATAGGGATTAGCTCTGGCCAATGTGGTTCAGTTGGTTAAAGTGTAATCCATTGCACATGAAGGAAACAGGTTCGATTCCTGATCAGGTCATATGCCTTATGTTTCTCGTTTGGTCTTCGTTTGGTCTTAGGTTGGAGCTCTTGCTAGATACAACCAATTGATGTTATCTCTCTCACATTGATATTTCTCTCTCCTTCCCTCCATACCTGCCTGCCTTTTCCCTCTCCCTTCCTCTCTTCCTAAAATCAATAAAATATGGATTAAAATGAAGCGTGGTGTTTGATTTCTGCTAATTTGTTGGTGTTTTGGAGTGTTAGAAATGGAAAAGGATAGAAAGTTAAGCTTAAGTAACTCAAGTTGGAAGCCTGGCAATGGCAAAATAAAATGTTTTAAATGTTAATTTTGTGGTTGCTTGCCATGAAGTTTTATCATAAATGAAAAGAGAGAGGTGGGTGGGGGAAAAGAGGAAGGAGGAGGAGGAGGAGAGGAAGGAGGAGGAGGAGGAGGGGAAGGGAGAGGGAGATGAGAAGGGGGAGCGAGGAGCATGAAATTCTGGCCTTATTGACCCTTGTGAAGGAGCTAAGGAGGAGGTATTTTTACACCTTCTTGAGAATTGATTTTTCTCAAGTCTTCTGAGTCTTTCTTGCTCTTACCCTTTTCAGGAATTGAGAAAATTAGTTCACCAGATTGCTGCTATGCTAATGAGTCTGATCTGTGTAGGACTAGAATGTGTGCTTTGTTTATGTTAGTTTCATCTTTAAGAATGTGTTAAAATAGTTTTCTCAGTGAGGCTTTCTTTGGCCTCTTATTTTATTTTTTAATTAAAAATACTTATTTTTTAGAGCAGTGTTAAGTTTACAACAAAATAGAGGGTTGGGGGGTACAGAGATTTCCCATATGCCCTCTACTTCCACACATTGATGGCCTCCCCCATTATCATCAAGATTTTAAAATGTAAATCTATAAAGACTTGTTTTTTTTTTTAAACAGTTCTTTGCTGTGTATGGTTTATTTTGCAGTTTGACCCCTTATTTTAGCAGCTACTTTCCCTGACCCTGTATTTTCCATTCTCCTTTTCTGCATTTTTTAAACATTTAGCACCTGGTAATATGTAATTTACTTATTCAGTTTGTTTCTGTTCTTCCTCTCCATTTTAAGATATAAACTCCAGTGAGTGCAGAGATTTTTGTTTCCTTAGTTCATTGTGTATTCCCAACGCTCAGAACAATGCCTGGCACTTTGTGAGATTATTTGAATAATCAGTAGTGGGCACTCAGTATTTCTAGAATAATTAAATGCTTTATTTATGGTGGAGGTGAAATTGAAGTATTTACAGAAAATTAGGGTTCCCTAGTTCTTTGTAGTATGGCTGTTCATTGTAGGTCTAGTAATATAATTAAACTTATGGACAAGTTGAAATTTCTGAATTATTTTCTGAATAATGCCCAAACAGGGACTATTTCATTATTAATTGATGATATTGTTTATTCACTATTAGAAGCCCGATGCACGAAATTTGTGCAAGGGGCTTGGCCCTCGCAGCCATGGTGGCTTGCCTCGGCCCTTGCAGCACCAGCTTCATCCAGAAAGTCATCTGGAAGGGCATTTGGAAGGTCATTTGGCTGTCCAGTCTAATTAGCATATTATGCTTTTATTATTATGTTTTGCTGAATGAATACCAAGAAAGACTAATAAGTACAGGAAAAACGTTTTAGCTTTCTGTGAGATTCTGGCCTTATTGACCCTTGTGAGGGAGCTAAAGTTTAAGAAATATCTTGTTCTCTGACTAACATTCATCCCAGGAACTTTTGTGTTCTTAGGTATGTGTGTTTGGAAGTAAGATATTGTGGGAAAGGGAGTTGGATGAAATTTGTTGCATGATTGCTTTGTTGAAATCAAAACTGTTCTTGAATGTTAATGATCACTGCAGCTTTGTGTGAAAGCTTTTAGATGTGAGTGATAATGGGGCTCATTAGACAGAGTGTTAGGTGTTCCAAGATCTCCAATTTATTCATCCAACACTTAGGCCAACTATATGCTGTGCTCTCTGCTAGACTCCTGAGGATACAAAGTCAAGTAGGATAGATTCAGTAATGAAGAAACAATAAAAATGTTTGTTTTACAGTGCTTCTTTTAGGCTTGGGACCTCTCAAAAGGCAGGATAATTTATTTTGGGGGGGTATTTTTGGCTTTGATTGAATTTAAATTGAAAATGAGAATGATCTATTAACTATTGAAAAGTCTTTAATCACAGCATGATTTTAATATTTGCTATTGAGTTACAGTTTGTATTTTTTTAAAAGAATTCGCTTTTTTATTATATTTTATATTCTGTACATGTTTTATCCTTTTAACATAGTGCTTATCATAGCCCCGAGAAATAGGAATTATTATAGTATCAGTATTTTACAAAGTTGAGTTTCAGAGAGGTTAAATAATTTGCTTAAGGTTCATAAATGAAGTCTATTGATGCTGAAGTCCATAAACTTTTTGTGAAATTTCCCAAAGGAAGCTGATATTGTTTATATGTTTTTAATTTGTCTGTAGAGAATGTTAATTAACAAGATGCACTGAATTTGGAAGTTATGCTGCAAAGTCCTCCCCTCTCCCCACAAGTTGAATCTTTGGCTTTTGGTATTTCAAAATAAAAATACTCTTTTTTTTTAAATTAAAAATCTCAAGAAAGTTCATTATAGAAAGAAACATAAAAGAGAAAAGAAAAGAAAAAGAGAAAAAAGATAGCTGGGGTGAGGAAATAGTTGTATTGACTTACTGTTAACCTTTCAGCATATATGTGGTATTTAACAAAATACAGGTTTGAGTGTAAGACCTAGAGTCAATCTGGCCTCAATATCTAATGGTTTTTGTGAGTTGAAGTTTTCATGATTTGGGGCAAATTACTTCTTTCAGTTTTGCAGATGAGAAAATGGAAGTTTAGAGAGAGCAGCCTATATCATAGAGTTCTGAAGGTTAAATGTGATAATGCATATAAAATGCTTGGCATATAACAAATTCCTAGCACATCCTAGTTCTTTGCACATAGATGTGTTTTATTGAGATGAATCATCAAAATTTTAACTGCCTTTTTTTTAACCTAATAAAGATGTCTTTCCATATACAACATTTAAAATCATCAGATAAGCACTCCACACAATGGAATGATATAATACATTCAGCCATCTCTTTGGTAGACATTTGTTTCTAGTTTTCTGTTTTGCAATTATAGATAATGTGTCAGTGAATATTGTAGCAGACTTTTGGGTATGTTTTTATTCCATCGGGATAAAATTGGAGATTGTGGAGTAGGTACACTTTTAAGATTTCTGGTGCATGTTTCTGTAGTGCCTTCTAGAGAGGTTGTAACTATTTATCTAACAGTAATTTATAGGGGTCCTTGTTTCCCTGCATTCTTACTGAATTTGGTACAGTTTTTAAACACCATTGCTGATTTACGTAGTCAGATTTAATTTAAATTGCTTTGATTGCTAATAAGTCCGAGATTTATTTTTCTACATGTATGTTGGTTTTTGTGTATTACACTGTTTTTCCATTAGTTTTCAAAATGTCTTCGTTCCTACTTTAGTGCTTTCGTGGATGTTTGTATTTTCCTTATTGATACTATGAACCCATTGTTGTATTCCCCACAACTTCTCAACTTTTCTTGTAATCTGCTTATGTTTATTTTTGGATATATAGAAGTTTAAAATATTTATTTCAACATATCTATTGGTTGATCTTGCTTTGGGGTCATGCTTACAGAAGCTTACCCCTTCCTCAAACTCTCTAAATTGGCGGTCCTTGAACTTTTGGTCTCAGGATCCCTTTATACTCTTAAAAAACTATTGAGGATCCTGAAGAGCCCTTTTTCATGTGGATTAAATCTGTAGACATTTGCCACATTAGAAATGAAAACTGAGAAATGTATAAATATTTATTAATTTATTAAGAATAAGTCCTTTACATGTTACCATAAGCATTTTTAATGAAAAAAATCATTATACGGTAGTTTCCTTAATAAAAAGATTATTGAGAATTTTTACAGTTTTGCAGGTCTCTGGCTTAATAGAAGATAGCTGGATTCTCATATCTGCCTCTGCATTTAAACTCTTGCAGTATTTATCAGAGGACATGTTTAGAAAATGTCATCTTATTATTATGAAAATAATTTTGGCCTCATGGGCCCCCTAAAAGGGTCCAGAGACTCAGATAACACTTTGAAATGGCTGATACAGATATACACTTAAATTCTCCTCTTGTATTTTGATGACAACTTATATCTGGAAAATGAATTTGAGATAAATTTTCATATATTCCCTGCCCCCCATTAGCCAACATCTTTTGTTGAAAGATCCATTTGTATGTAAGTCATTGACTGGCTAAGATGAAACTGTACACCTATTTACAGTTACTGGGTGAGCTTAACTTAAGTTCCATTAAAGCAGTACCTCTTTTTTTGGTATTTTCTTTTAGATTCCTAATGGCTCCACCCCACTCCAGCTTCCAATTTCACAACATATTGTTCCGAAAAACAAAAGATTTTTTATTCATGTTTGTCATTGATTATGAAAGTGATGTATGATCACTATAGAAAATTTAAAACACACATAGAAACATAAGAAAAGAATATTTTGTCACTTAATATGCAAAGTACTGCTGATACGCTATTATTGCTGTACTATAATGGCACTTAATTATTGAAAAATGCTACACATAAATTCCTACTCTACTGTTAATAAATTGTACATCTTTTGAGGTGTTACTTAGCTTCTTGGAATCACTCATTCATCAGATTTATGTTTATTACTCTTTATGTGTTCCTAGGTGCATTGGATAAAAAGAACAAGACACGGTTTCCTGTCACTAAGTTTGCAGGTTAATGAAGAAATATACATGTTATATGATAAGTATGATAGCTGTAAGCAATTATAAATATTATGGGAAAGGCTAAACAAGCTAATGTTGAGAAAGGTTGAGGGAGTAAAAAGAAGGGAGGGAATTTGAAAATATTAATGTTTTACAACCTTACTTCAGTATTTGATGATGATAGGCTCTTTGGATCAAGAAAAGGAAGGAGTCAGGCATGACTCCCAGCTACCTGTCTTGAAAGACTGGGTGGATAATGATGTTAGGATAATAAAATCATTCACCCAGGGGATAATTGGGAACATCCCCCACTGCTAACAAAATATACATGTACTCTTTTCAACGCTCTATTCTTTGGCTTTCCAAGATCAGTTCATTTGTGGCCATGTTGAGTTTGAGCAGCCTGGAGATGAGTGGGAGGCTTTGGAAAGTTGCCAGGGGAGTTGTGTGGGCAAGAGAGTTGTAGTATATAGCATAGTTGAATGGAGGTTAAGATCATCTTTTAAGGATTCTTAACAGAAGAGAAGGCGGCCAAGGACCATCCAACATTTGAGGCACAGGCAGAGGAAAATGAGTCCAGCAAAAAGTAGTAAGGTAGAGGGGAACAGGAGAGTAGCAATGTGGAAGACAACTGACTAGAATTTAAAAGATGAGGAGGGTAGGGGAAAAGGTGACCTGAAGTGTTAAAACCCCTGCTTAAAAAGTCAAATAAGACCTGAAAACTGTTTATTAGATTTAGGAATAAGGAGACACCAATGACTTTAGCAAAAATAACTTAACTGGAAAGCTGGATATAGAGCTACAGCAAAGAGTATAGAGGTAAGGAAGTGGAAGATAATGAGTATTGGTTACTCTTTGAGAAGCTTGAGTATTAAGTTAGGGTGTGAAAGTTAGAAAACAGGGAGTTGAGAATGTTTATCTTCTAAGGAAGAAGAGATTGAACTGAGAGATGGGGAAATACTATCATCCTGAGGTTTCTAGAAAAATGATTTCAAACTTCTGTAGGAATTGTTCTAAAATCTGTATTTTAGATAATGCTGAATATGATTTTTGATACCATTTTATAGTACAGTGAGTTCTCAAAGTTGATAGATTCTATAATTTTAAGCAAAATTCTGTATAAGAAAAGCAGTTTTGCCATAGGACAATTGATATAAACAGCAGTTAAGTCCCTATAACATCTCATTAATGTTATAATGAAATGATGATATTATTGGAGGAACTGCTGTACTTCAGTTGTCATGAATATCAGGTACTTTACTGTTCTGAAAGATAGAAACAGCCAAGTTCTAAAATGTAACAGCTTAGGACTATTTAATATGATAATGTAGTACCTTTTTAATAATAAATGTCATCTTTCCTTGTGTGTGCATGTATCTCCCCTCCAATCTCCCCATCTCATTAATGTGGTTTGGTTCTAGTAGTAAATGCCACCTGCTTTTACAAATGTGCTGCATCTGACCCGGTCATTGTGGCTCAGTGGTTGAGTATTGACCCATGAACCAGGAGGTCATGGTTCAATTCCTGTTGAGGGCACATGCCCTGGTTGCAGGCTTGATCCCCAGTAGAGGGCATTCAGGATGCAACCGATAAGTGATTCTCTCTCATCATTGATATTTCTATCTCTTTCTCTCTGGAAAACAAACAAACAAACAAACAAAACCCAAACATATTAAAAAAAATAAAGAAAAAGAAACTGTCAGATGTGTTGCACCTTAATAACTGTGAACAGGGAAATCTATATCACCAAATTGTTAGACTTATGCTCTGAATGAGATTACTAATATTAATCAGTACTGTAAATTGTAAGGAAGATCTGGGGGGTTGCTTCTTTAAAGCTTGGTCTGTAATACATATGGTTCTGATTGCTTTTTCACTTAAAGAATGCAGAGCTCTGTATAGTTAGATTGCTTCAGAATCCTAATTTCAATAATTAGTAACCCTGAATCTGAATAAATGACTTACTTTCAGAACTTGACTTTCTTCTAATGATAATAGTACTTACTTCACAGGGTCATTAATGAAGTAATGCATGAAAAACGCAGTGTGGCACAGAGTAGATAGAGTCAATACGTATTAGCTGTTAATAATTATTTTCTGTTTGTCTCCAGGGTTTTGATTTTCTAAGCTTGATGTTTTTAGAAGTCTTCCTGATTAGAGGAGTGTTACTGTTTTTGAAAAGGAAATAGATTAAAATAGTCATACTGTAGATTTCATGTGTCTGGGAGGACAGTGAGAATTTGCACTATTGCACATGGGGAAAAAGTAGATTTACAGATGTGGTCCCGTCTCGCCCAGCCCTGATCGCCCCAGATCCCAGCAGCAAGCTAACCTACCGGTCAAAGTGTCTGCCCCCTGGTGGTCAGCCGACCACTCAGTCAGATACTTAGCATAGTAGTGTTTTATATATATAGATTGTATTATTTTCCATACAAACAACTCTAAGCCTACCTTAGTCCCACCCTGTATAAACAAGGAGACTTATTTCCTGAGGTAGATTAGTTGGTTGTTATAGCTGTTTAGGAAAGGTTTTTCTTAGAGGTTTTAGAAAACACTGTATTTCTTGAGGTGGTTCTGTAATCCCTTTATATTTGGATTGAATGCTAAAACATACTTAAAAAGAAGAGGGATAAAAGCTGAACTAGAATTATGGCATATATTTTACTTTGGGGGGGGAGAGAGGAAGGGAGAAGGAAAAAGAAAAGGAGGGTAGGAGTTGTAGACTAGTTTTGGGCAGGAAATTAATGTAACATGGTGAGGTTCATGAATATCGTATCAAAACAAGTGGGTAACCTGTAATTTAACCAAGGGCAGTACTTGGAGGGCAAGAAGTTAGGTTTTGTGCCATGGTCTGAGAAAGCCTATATTCACCTTTTTATATATGAGACTAATGTTCTTAAAAGAGAGATAGAATGCAATTTTTCTAGAATTTTTGTTAACCATAAATTTAATCATTCTTTACTTCTTTCTATCAAATAAATTACGCAATTCTTTGAAATGTTTTAGAGTTTTATTGAGAATCTTTATCTTTTTGATATAGTAAAACGTTAATTGCGGGGACCTGAAGCTGCAGGGATCTCCCTTTTCCATGTCCCGCATGGAAAGAGAGATGAATGAACCGGTTCTAAGTGGAGGTGCCCAGGGATTGAGAAATACTAGAAATAAAGAGAGAAGACATAGAAATAGATTTCAAGCTGGGAGCTGGGAGGGCTGCTGACCTCCTCTGCTGCAGAGACAGACTGACTGATAACCTCCTAAGCCATGTAGCACATCTTTTTATACTCCAATCCAACAAGGGATTTCACAGGAAAACAAGGAGCCTGGGAGAGCCCAGGTTCTACCCACTCATTAGTCAGGAACTAAGAACATCTCAGCACTCCCAGGGCGGGAGTGCAACTAACATGACTCTGCCAATATCCCGGGCCCCATCAACAATCTATAGAATGTCCAGGTGTCTTCCCATTTGCCCTCTACAGTTAATGGATGGAAAATCCTTTTTTGGTAGCTTTTGTGACTGTACCAGTACATTTGTAAGATAGTCCTGGACATTGAACTTCTCTAAAACCCACAGACCTCATTTATAAAGGAGAAGAGCATTTAGAATGTTTAAATATAATCAACTAAATTGTTTTCTTCTGAGAATTTTTCTGGATGTGTTAAATGTGTTATATATCGGGTCTAGTAATAATTAATGTCGTTTTTAAACATTCGTTTAAAATCTTGTTTGGCGTTGACTTGTATTGACATAACCTTCAAACACGTGGTATCTACAGAACGTGTGAAGTGCAATTAACAAGTTTTGCTTGAAAAAGTTTGTGTTTGGTTTGGTTTTTGTTGCAAAACTAGGGCTAAGAAGATGGCAGATGAAGAGCATATTCTGCACTGCATGCTTTACGAATTCCAATTAGGAAGAAAAGCAAGTGAGGCTGCAAAAAACATCTGTAGTGCTCTTGGTCAAGATGCAGTTAGCGCCAGAAAATGCCAGTGTTGGTTTGAGAAATTTCGCGAGGGAAATTTTTCATTAGATGACATGAGTGGTCGAGGCCGTGTGTCCAATTTTGATCAAGAAGCTCTTCAAGCTCTTTTGGTGCAAAATCCTCAAATTACCCAACAAGAGCTCGTGACAACTTTGAATTGTTCACAAAAAACAATTTCCAATCAATTGCGTGCACTTGGCAAAGTCCAAAAGTTTGGAAAATGGTTCCTCATGAGTTGACCGACAACAACCGTAATCAAAGAGTCACAATTTGCAGTTCGCTCCTCTCTCGTCAAAACCGTTTGCCGTTTTTAAAGCAAATTGTTACTGGAGATGAACAATGGGTGCTGTATGTTAATTTGGAAAGGCGGCCTCAATGGTTGGACAAAAATGAGGCTCCGCAGCCCACGCCAAAACCTGACTTGCATGCGAAAAAAGTGATGTTGTGTGTTTGGTGGAATTTTAAAGGAATTCTTCATTATGAACTTTTACCATCTAACCAAACCATTACAAGTGCAGTGTATAGTGCCCAATTGGAAAGGTTAACCCAAGCTTTAAGAGAAAAAGAACCCGCGCTAATTAATCGGAAGGGCGTGATTCTTCACCACGATAACGCACGACTGCATACTGCAAGAATCACTGCTGAAAAACTGTGCCAGTTGGAATGGGAAGTTCTCCCTCAACCTGCATATTCTCCTGATATTGCCCCTTCCGATTACCATTTGTTTTGTTCTTTGCAAAACTTTCTTCTTGGAAAAAAATTTAATAATGAAGAATGCCTCAAAAATGCATTGACCGAATTTTTTGCATCAAAATCACAAGAATTTTACAACAGAGGGATTAAAATGCTTTCTGAGCGTTGGGCACAAGTAGTAGAAAACAACGGCAACTATATTGTTGATTAAATTTTGTTATATTGTTTAAATAAATTTGATTTAAAAAAGTAAATTATTACTAGACCTAATAGAAATCCACACAGGAATTTTCACATGTTTTAAATGCTTTAAAACAGATTTTACTTTTTGATAACTGG